CTGACTAAAATCTTTATCTGTAGGGTATGTTGTAGGGTATTACATAGAGTATTCTAAAGGGTATCTTAAAAGGTATTCTAGAAGATATTCTATGAAATATATTTGAAGCATACAGAAGGTATATCTCAAAGGCGGTCTTCTGTTAGGTATTCTATTACAGGATATTCCGAATAGTATTCTAGAGGGCATTCTATCAGATATTCTATAAGGTTTTCCATAAAATATTATACAAAAGGTATTTTATAGTCTCGTCTTTTTCGGAAAGTATTCTGTAGGGTATCTATATGAGATCTATCAAATATATAGAGGTGGGATTCTATAAGGCGGTTGTAAAATTATTCTTCTTAATTTTTAATTTTCTTCATTAGAATATCTTACCCAAAAACTACAATTCAACTAGCTTTCTCAAATCTTGGGTTCCATCGGACTTTCCATATTTTAAAATCCTTATCTATAGGGTATTTATATAGTTCCATAAGAGATTCTATAGAGTATCCAATAAAAGTATTATATACATCTCCTCAATAATATATGTAAAGTATTCTTTCTAATAAAAATATCTTTATTAAAATTCTTGAAAGTAGAAAGAAAATATTATTTTATAAAATATATTATATAATATTTTTCTACTAGTAAATTTTTAATTATTTCCATTCATAAGAAACCGTTTCTCAATTCACTATAATATAGCCAGAAATTCTCAAATCATAGATTTCGACTAAAGTTCCTAATATTATATGTTTAAATCCTTATCTAAAACGTACTCTAATAAGTTCTCTATAAAAGGATTTAAGAAATATCCTACAAGGCATCCTTTAAGATAAATATATATATATATAGTGTACACAAGTCGTATCATATATAGATAATCTTCTACAAAATATTCTACAAAGTAGTACAAATAATCTACTATAAAATCTATATAAGATATATAACAAATATAATATCACATATTATTTACACAACGTATTCTTTAAAATTCTCTATAAAGTATCTTAAGTATGTATGGGTGGTATTCTAGAACTGCTCATAGTTTCCCAGAACACACTCATACGCGCGCTCAGGCGCTCCCACGCTCACACGCACAGACAGACACACACACATCCCCACACACACACACACACACACACCGACCGCGAATCATGCAGGGAGGGGAGGGGGGGGAGGGGGGGGGAGAAACTCTTGCAACAGAGGTTAACTTCATAAGACCCCCCTCCTCCCCCCCCCCAAAGTTTATAAACCCAGCACAGAGTTCATAAACCCAGCATGGGGATTATAACTAAACATTTCGATTCCA